CTCCAGTTCCAACGCTCGAAGCTTCCTGGTTCCAAGCTTCCATTGATCAAGGCATCGATACAATGAAAGTCCAGTTTCAGGTAAAGCTTGTGGGCTCACAGTGTGCAAAATTATTGCGGTCCACGAAAAGCACCATGGTTCCAGACTTAAAAGACCTGACGGTTCCAGGATTCCGGAGCCCCAGAATTTTTGGATTCTCATTTTGCACGGATGTGCGGTTTTCAGGTTGCCAGGCAAGGTTCCAATGTTGAAGGGGGTCCAAGATTCCAGCGTTCCCAGGTTCTAAGGTTGCAATTGTCACAGGGTGCGCTTCCAAGGTTGCAGTGCTTCAGGAATCCAAAGTTGCAGGCTTCCATGGTTTCAAAGCCCCAAGATTTCAGAGTTCCGGGATTGAAGGGTTCTAGAGCTCTCCATGGTTTCAAGACTGCAACGTCACGGGGCAAAGTTCCAAGTTGCCTCCAGGATCTGAAGAATGAAGGTTTCCAAGGTTCGAGGGTTCCAAGATTTTCGGGGTTTTGGGTTCCAAGGTTCCAGAATTTCCGGGTTCTAACGCTCCAGGTTGTTCTAAGAGTGAAGGATGCACGAAACAGCTCCGCAATGCTCCGCACATGAAGCAGACAAAAATGCAAACTGATAAAACGAACCACAAACTACACCCGTAACTCTGGTTATGGTTTCCGGAAAAAAACCTTACAAGAATTCTTGCAAGGATTTCCCGCAAGGAAATCCTGCAAGGGCTCCAGCAAAGGGTTTCTGCAAGGTTCATGCCTGAGTTCCAGCAAAGGGCTTCTTCAAAGGCCCAGGCAAATCATTGCATTTTCAGCAAGGGGCCTTCGTCTTTAATTGTCTGCCCTCCCTCCCAAAACTTAACACGGCCCAGCAAATTGAGCAAAGCAGGAAGCAATCAGAAAAAAGAGGCAAAACGGAACCCAAAGCAAAGCAAGAAGTTGTCTTCAGGTTCTGGCAAGGTTGCAAAACAAACCCAGCAAAGTTTATGCCATATTTTCAACATCACAAATTGGCACAATAACCAAAGCAGGAACATCAACCAAAACAGGAAACAACATGTCGTGCAAGGTTCCAGCAAGAGATCCAGCAAGGTTCCGGCAAGAATTCCAGCAAGGTTCCAGCAGGGTTCCAGCAAGGTCACATCTTTATTGGAATTTTCGTTGTTGTGCTTTTGCCAGCAGAATATGACCGGTATTTTCGGGTATGATGGAAGCGTCCGCTGGGGTGTGTTATAAAATGTTTCCCATTCCAACTCCACAGGAGGACGGCAAGTGCTACTACTCCCGGAAGAACCTCACCGAGAGCCCAACGGCTACATGGGCAATGGGAGCAAGCCCGTCCCTCCAAAAGGCCTACAGCCGGCTCCCGCTGCTATTGACGCCCACAACACCCGTCGCCCTTGAAGAAGGGTTTGCGGCGACGGTTACAAAAGACGTCAAGACCGATCTCGGCAACGGGAGGGATCTTGGGTTTTCGCTGGTGGGGGGCGGTATAAGATAGATAGATAGATAGATAGATTAGATTAGATTAGGTTAGATTAGATTAGATTAGATTAGAGTAGATGAGATTAGATGAGGTTAGATGAGATTAGATGAGATTAGATGAGATTAGATGAGATTAGATGAGATTAGATGAGATTAGATGAGATTAGATGAGATTAGATGAGATTAGATGGATAGATGGATAGATGGATGGATGGATAGATGGATAGATGGATAGATGGATAGATGGATAGATGGATAGATGTATAGGTGGATGGATGGATAGATGGATGGATAGATGGATGGATGGATAGATGGATAGATGGACAGATGGATAGATGGATAGGTGAATGGATGGATAGATGGATGGATGGATGGATGGATAGATGGATAGATGGATAGATGGATAGATAGATGGATAGATGGATAGATGGATAGATGGATAGATGGATAGATGGATAGATGGATAGATGGATAGATAGATAGATAGATAGATAGATAAGAATAATGTTTAAACAATAATTCAACAATGAACCAATAAATGAATATAAGCAAAAATCAATCAATAAATAAACAAATTCAAATAATTTATAGATACATATTGATATACCAGTAGTACCACGCAAGGCCATGGCGGAAGTTTTAAATTTTACAGATAGGACGCTATAGGAGAGGTGAGTCGTTCTGATGCATGGATGGCAGAGCAAGCACACGGATGGACTGAAAGGTTTTTGGAGCTGTGTTTTTTCGAGTGGCTGCAGCGGTCACCTCAACAGCTGGATGTCGTGTGGCGTAGTGTAATGTAGCTGTAGTGCAGTGTAGTTGCAGTGGTAGTTGTCGTGCGATGTAGCTGTCTTTGTAATGTGATGCAATTAATTAGTGTTTTGTAGTGTATATAGTATATAGTTGGAGTTGCAATGTAGCTGTAGTTGTAGTGTAGTGCAGTGTAGTGTACTTGTAGGTATAGCGTAGTGCCGCGAGCGCAATGCAGTGTAGTTGTAGTTTTTGTAGTAGTTGTTGTGGCCGTTTGAGCTGTAGCTGTAGTATAGCATAGTGGTAGGGTAGTGGAGTGTAGTGTAGGGTAATGTAGTTGGAGCCGGAGTTGTAGTTGTGGTGTGATGTATTTGAGTGGTAGTGGTAGTTGTTGTAGTAGTAGTGGTAGTGGTAGTAGTCGCAGTCATCGTTGTAATCGTAGTCGTAGTTGTAGTCGTAGTCGTCGTAGCAGTAGTACTCGTGCCAGTTGCAGTTGTAGTTAGTAGTAGTAGTAGTAGTAGTAGCAGTAGTAGTAGTAGTTGTTGTTGTAGTTGTAGTAGTAGTAGGAGGAGGAGTAGTAGTAGTAGTAGTAGTAGAAGTAGAAGTAGAAGTAGAAGTAGAAGTAGAAGTAGAAGTAGAAGTAGTAGTAGTAGTAGCAGTAGCAGCAGTAGTAGTAGCAGTAGTAGTAGTAGCAGCAGTAGTAGTAGTAGTAGTCGTAGTGGTAGTGGTAGTGGTAGTGGTAGTGGTAGTAGTATAAGTAGTAGTGTTAGTATCTGTTTTTATTATTGGGTATATATATATTTATCACCGACAAATACGGACATATGATCGAGAACTGTGGGTCCCAAACTGGATTTTTGAAGAGGTTATACAGCAAGACACTTGATGGGCATGTATAAAGATTAACATGCAAATTTCACCAAAACATACCCAGTTATATACTTACATGATGACCGAAACTTGTGGTTGAATGGCTAGTTGAATGGCATTCCAACGACTATCCGCTGGTAATCTAAGCTGGCTACTGGAAGACCCCATCCATCCAGGATGTTCCCACTAAAACCATAATACACAACGCCTTTGGTTGAATGATTACTTAGTATTACTTGAATTCCAACTGTCTTCCAATAGCATTCTATTTTCCACGGTCATCCAACTGGTACCCTCCAGTACAGTAACATAGTTATGGAATTTCATAGGTTTTCTCATGAAATGATATGATCTGCACGGTAGATTTTCCACATCTATGTTATCCTCTGGTAATTTCACATAGCTATGGACAATTGCCCATTTATAGATGATTTACCTATTAAAGATTGCGATTTTTCCATGGCAAAATGTTAGTTTACCAGAGGCTGTACCGAAAGCATCAACGATTCGCTATCCAATCTCCACGAGGCGCGGCGCGGTCTCAAGCGTCCTGCGGCACGCAGCTAACGCGATGATCCGTTCGAGTGAAAAGGGTGTGTGCTTCGGATGTGGAAATGACCAATGTTTTGCATTCACCATCCAAATTTTGGGTACTCAATTTTGACCCATCCTATACCCCTATAATCCCCTATGTATATATATGTATATATATATATATATTTGATGGGACATAAATGATAACAATGGGAATAATTGGGAATATTTTTTTTTCTTAATTCTAAGGGTCTCGCAATCAGGAGCCCTGATGGATCTTGTAGTTTTTGGGTCCCTGTTGTTAAACGAATTGCATCTTTAGCCATTCAAATTTAGGGATACCCAAGTTTGACCATACAAGTACGGATATCTGATGGGATATGATTGAAATACTGGGGATATAAATAGGACGTAATGAAGTATGCAATCAACAGTATGATTTGTGGGTGTGTCTGAAAATGGGGTATATGACCAAGATAGCTACATTTAGTAAGGAACATGATGACAAATCATCACATTTTCTGATACCCAATTTTCAGACAAAACCAAGATATTTGCTAAGTAGTTGGAGATGAATAGAAACAGATTCAAATTCTAGACTTGGAATGATCGGGATGAAAGTGACGATTGAAATCCAATCTGTTGTGGAACATGGGCAAAATTGGATGTTGATTCAGTGCTGGATCATGCAGCTAGTGCGCTGGTAAACTCTCCTTAGGTTCGCCACATGGCTCACACTTGTCAGTTGTTGGAGATGGCGGATATTTCAGGGTTTTCTGTGATGGAAAAGACAACGAAGACAGCCATCAAACTGTCGCGAGGAATCATGTCGTTGGAGACCACACTGCATTTTTGTTTATATTATATACAGCAATCTCAAAGGACGCACCCCAACAATGCTGCTTAAGTATTGGGGCAGCCATCCGAAATTGCCCAACCAATTTTTTTTGTGGTCTATTATTTAGATATATTTAGATATATTTATATAGATATATTTAGATTATGATTGATGCTTATCGTCCTCAAGATCCTTTCTTTATACGTTCAATCCACTGTTTTCCATGGTCAAATCATGCCAAGTTACCCAAGTTTGGTAAGATTCCTGGTTAGATCCTTGAATCCCAAAAAGTGATGGTCAGATTGAAACCTAAAAGTCCAACCAATTTTGATATATTCAAAACATGTTTGAACAGTTCACCCACAAAAATCCGAATCTCAAAACATCCAAAGAAACCTTAAACATATCAATTCAATTTCAATGTGGGATTGTTTATTAATTAAGAAGATATGTTTTTACAATCCCACAATCTCAATATCAATTCAATCAGTCCCAGAGTTCAAAATCCCCTGGAGGATCACATTAGTGAACTCCGTGATGGGGTGCTGCGTGCTCGTCCGGACACCAAGGGACGCCAAGCCTGAAACACCACAGAAAGTGGTGGATTTTAAAGCACAAAAATAATCAAAGATGGTGAAACATGGTGGTTCCATGCTGATTTTAGCAATTGTTTTTGTATTTTAAGCATGAATATGCTGACCTGAGTTTCCGGAAAGAAATGGTGGAACGTGCAAGCATTGGTGGTTTAAACCCACCAGAATGTGGTTGAAATCATAAAAACTATAGGAATAGCCTGCAGTCATCATAATTACAAAATACTACCAACTAGCGTCTCTTCACTCCAAGCAGCAATGAAACCAACATTTTGAGGCAATTTGAACTATTTCGTACAGAACAGATGCCAATCAGCTGGTTTGTTGATGGTTGGTGGCTTCAGTTTCTGAATCGACCTAGCCGTTGGTGTCATGTTTTCCTTGCCACCAGCACCTCCGCGTGGCTAAGTTGCCTTTTCGGTGGTGGCCGTGGGAATTTGCCTCTACTACTACAAGGCCGAGCACGACACAGATAGAAGCGGGACATGGTCGCTGTTTCTTGGGGATGCCGGCAGTTTTACTCAGCGATGAAGCGATCCCCTGGTGCAAATTTTGCGAAGGCACGACACTGCACATATGAAACAATGGTCATTCCTGTTTCTATATGTTTCTATATTTTCCATTGTTTTGTCGCAAAGACAGTGGGTATATCTTCCCATCGTTAGTGAAATCGAAACGAGTCGAAAGAGATCGCGCTGTTCAAAGAGATCAGTGGATGACATGGGATGTCTTAGTTCAGGTGAGGTTTAGTCAGGACATTCAGGACATTCTACTCAGCAGTTCCAACCAGATATAACATGATATAACTGGACATTGCAATATCTTTAGTTCATTTTACTTCCAAGTTCCAAGTTGCATGGCGCTTGATCCTGTTGGATTGCTGTTCTGAACTCGTAGAATGGGAGACTCGCAACCAGTAGTACCGTCGGAGAGACCTCGACATCACGACACCTCAACTTCCAATGTCCGATGATGTGGGTTTGTTGACCCCCAGAAAATTGGAAACGACAAGTCCTTAGATATTTTGGTAAACAAACAGTTTGCTATTGAAAATGGCCCCCATAAAAATAGTGGATTTACCCAGCTAGAAAATGGTGGATCTTTCCAGTTCGCTATGTTAAAAAACCAGAGGGTAGATATTTTCTGCTGGTTGTCATTCTCCATCTATTTTCATTTTCGTATTCTCTGTCCCACTGAGTTTGCAAAAAACTCCGTTTCTGCCACCAGCGTATCACGTTCTGGTTCAATTGCCTCTATCCCAATTTTTTTTGAACATGTTGGGTGGTGGTTATCCATCTTTATCCCATCTTTTTGGGTGGTTACTAACAATCATGAATGGAGGTTTCAAACTGGTTACTGAGGTTTCTAACTGGTTACCATATAAATAGGTTACCAATTTAATGGAGGTATATTATACTATATTACTATTCTATGTTATTATTCCATATATTATTCAATGGTTATATTTGTCCTAATATATTATTATACTATTTATAGTATAGTTTAGTTATAATTTAACTATAGTTTGTTATAACAATTATTGTTATACTATATTACTATCATATGTAATATACTATTGATATATAATAATATAGTAATATTATATTATATATCAATAGTATACATATTATATATTATAGGTACTATATATATAATATATTATTAACCTTGTTTTCACCATGGTACAACCGTCCATGCCTTTTTTTGGTTCAGGAGTTGACGACGGCTCTGGAGTCACCGGCCCAGTCCGGGGGCACGGAGGCGAGGTTCGCGGCGAAGGCTTCGGTGAAGTGCCCAAGTGGATGAAACCATAAGGCAATGTTAGTTAGGAACCATTAGTTATGGTTAGTTAATGTTAGTCATACCATTAGTTAGTAACCATGAGTAACCATGAGTAACCATGAGTAACCATGAGTAACCATTAGTAACCATTAGAAACCATTGGTTAGTAACCAGAGTTCATCAATGCCAGTAACCATTAGTAGCCATAGTTAATGTTAGTTATACCATTTTGATCCATTTTGAAGGTACCCAATCATAGTTAAACCATGTAGATCGATCCATGTGAATCCCAAAAATCCAGATGGTTTAACTACGGTTACTAACCAGTTGTAAAAGTCGCAAAAGTGGGGAAATCCCAAAAAAGTCTACCCTCCGGTACTCATCACGTGGCCGTCTCGAAAATCCCCGACCTCGCCATGGAGGTTTAGTTCGCTGGGAACATGATCTGTAAACGAGGGATTTTCTGTTGCCATCTTTGATTACAAACCAGTTATGCCACAATAGGTGGTCAAATCCCCACCCAATTCGTGGCTTAAGTCATATCCTATCTGGTTGGTGGTTTGGAACATTTTTTATTTTTCCATCTATGAATCTATGAAGGGAATGTCATAACCCCAACTGACTTTCACTCCATCATTTTTCAGAGGGGTTGTTTTACAACCACCAACCAGAATATTATTATCATTATTATCATTAACCATATAATAACCATATAATAACCATATAATAACCATATTGATAACCATATAATAACCATATATATATATATATCAACCATATATCAACAGTATATTACCAACCAATGGTAGGTAACCATCCTGGTGCAACCACTTTCGGCCTGCTGCAACCACTTCCTCCAAGGGATGATCTTTTGCATTGACCCATTGAAAAATGGTGATTTTTCCATAGTTTTTTGTAAACCTTTACCAGAGGGTATCGAACAGATGTCCAGAAAAGGCCAGAAGCAACTCATTTTTCTGTAAGTCAATCACCTAGAAAGTACCAAACATGGTTTAAAATGAAGCTATTGTGCCATATTAGACCTTTTTTAAGACCATTTTTTGGGGGATAGTCCGGTACCATGCCTGGCAGGCGTTACATTGAATTGATAGGTACCTCTACTATAGGTACCTGAAATATCCACGGACTAAACGTTTGTGTTTTCTGCAGCTTCCCCCTCATGTGCTATTGAATTTGCATACGCTAAGACAATTTGGAAACTGCCTTTATTTGGATTTGAGGATTGGTAGGTGACGAGTGAAGGGGGGGTTTGACATCCCCAGACGTTGCGATTGGTTGACCAACTCAAACAAATTGTTTAAGTAACAGAAATCATGGCTGGGCTTTAAACCAACTAATTATGTAGCATTTTCATAAATTTTCATTATTTAAATTATCTAGTACTGTAGTTTGTTTCGTTATATAGTGCATAACCAATTGGCTTGTTTTTGACACGCCACTGTGATTTTAGTGACCAAACAAAGTGACATTTACGAACCACCATGAACCATGCGTCACCAAGCAACTGAGACTGGTTGGACACCAATATTCATTCGATTTGGGCTTAAGATATGTTCAACAATTTGGAAGCCATCTATTTCCTGGTTGGTGGTTTGGAACATTTGTTTTATTTCTTCCATTGAGTTGGGAATGTCATAATCCCAACTGACGAAGTCCATCATATTTTTCAGAGGGGTAGGTCAACCACCAACCAGAATATTATTATCATTATTATCATTGACCATATAATAATCATATATATATATATAATCATCTTGAAGTAGATAGAATCTCTGGAATTTCCAACGGGTACTTTGCAGAAATCGCGGCAAGTTCTTGCGAAGTCCATTACTCGTAGCGGTTGCTACTTGGATGTGCATCCCAGTCAGTAGTGGTAGCCATATTGGAACATATTATGACCAGTTTTTTTTTTTTAATGGGATATATGATATACCCGGGTACTATGGGTTATCACTGGTTTCATTTGAGTATGCAAAATTGGGTACCCCAATAGTTACCATCTGGTTATTTAATATATATATATATAGCCATGGAAAATCACCATTTTTTTCATAGGTAAAAACCATCTATTTCGATTGGGACCATCGACAAACCATGGCTTGGATCATCCCGTCGGATGTGAAGAACCTGGAATCGGCTGATCTTTTCAGCGCTAACCAGGAGCTTAAATGGGTTTTATAAGCCATTTAATAGGTGGCTATATATATATTACATATATATATGTATGTAATATGTATATATATATTATACCATATCACCATGATATCTTATGATTAGTCATCCCCCAAGATCAAAAAATAGAAAAGTAACGATAATATCCACAGTAATAACTATCATCATATCCCAGCTTTTCTATTCTGTAATAATTCTAGAGATATCCCCATTTATAAGTCTCCTAAGTGGATTGTCCCATTTATAAATGCGTTGTAACCCCAGGTACTAACCTAAGTTCATTATCGCCAATAACTTATATATTAGTCAACTCTATTGTAGCTAAATGATAGTAATATCCTAACCTATGATATCCTATGATATTAGTATCCAATAAGCTTGATTGTAGCAATAGGATATTGGATAGTAATCTACAGATATCTAATAACATTAGTATCATAGTGATATCATACATGTTATCATATCTAAAGGTTATTGTAGGTATATGATATTGTAACAAGATCTCTCTACACTTTCCTATGATATTAACATCTAATACCCTCTGGTAATTTAACATAGCGAACTGGAAGGTCACCATTTTTCATGGGAAAACTCACTATAAATCACCATTTTCAATAGCTATGTTAAATTACCAGAGGGTAACCTTTATTGTGGGCCGTTGATATGGGCCGTTGCGAAATCCGATCAGGGTTTCACCAGTTGATAGATGGTAAAACCATGATTTATACAGGATGGTGCCCCCCAGTGAGGTTTGTTGGTTTATAAACCATGAAATAATCCCCATTAATGAGTTCGTTATATCTACCATAAACCATAGTTAAGCCACTTATAAACCATAGTTAACTATAGTTGATAGATTCTGATAGATGGTAAACGTCCCATGATTTGGGGTTGAAATACCATCCACGTGAACCGCCGCAGGTGAAATTCGTCCAACTGGCGCCCGGAGAATTTTTCTTCGTCTCCGTCAAGGTGTGTGTGACGTAAAGTTAAGCGGTGACGCTGGGGAAACGGGGGACGCAACCAGAGTCATGTCCCTTTTTAAAGTGGTGATTTAATGGTGATTAATTGTGATTTAATGGTGATTAATGGTTAATAGTGGCTCTTACTGGTGAATAATAGTGATTCAATGGTGATTCAATGGTGATTTAAGCAGTCGAAACCATGGTGATTTAATGGTGATTTTTTTAACCAAGAAACCTCTTTGTGACTTAATGGTGATTTGACCAACATGGTGATTTTTTGATGAAAATCTGGTGATTCTTTGAATGATCAAAAAGAAACGACCCATCAAACAGGGTGATTTATGAATGGACTTTATGGATTTAGAGCATCAAATGTATATTTACATTTGAAGGGATTGAGCAGGCCCCGGCAATCGCCACGCCAACTAGTGACTACGGGAAGTCATTGTATCCAAGGGATTGAAGGGATTTAAGCAAGGAACAGCAAGGAATGTAACATGATGTAATGCCACGCACCAAAAACAAGGAACGAAAAAATCAGAGATAAAATGCTTCCCAAGGTATGATTTCCCATATATATATATATACATATATATATATAGATTTTCCCTATTACAATTATACCATTTCTTATGGTATTGCAAAACATCAGATTTCTTATGGTTCCAATCCCATTTCTATAGATTTTCACAGCTCGAAAGCTCCATTTGGTGGATTCCCTACGGCCCGACTCTTTCGACCGGTCGACCTCCAAGGTGGCCTTTTCCGTTGGACTTCTCATCGCGTTTCCCTACGCCCTCTTCGAGGTGCATGACGCGTATGAAAAGCAGCATGGGACGGTGGAACTTGGGGACAAAAATGGTGAAAAATGGTGGATTTACCCTCTGGTTATGTCAAAATAGCTATGGAACATGGCCATTGAGTTCGTTGATTTACCTACTAAAACATGGTGATTTTCCAGTTCGCAAACTGTTAAATGACCAGAGGGTAACTAACCATCAACTGGTGAATGGTGATGAAGCCACTAATTAAACTTTGGATTTTACCAAACAACCAGGAATACTAATGCATTTGATATAATATGCTATAATTTATAAATATTTATAATATATTCATGTAGCACACAATAAGCAACCATAACGGGATATTGTTATCATAATTGCTGTTTATACACATGATATAAGAATATGTATTTTTTTTAAAATGTAATCAACCAAAATGAACATATGTATATATATATATATACTGTAAATATATATATATATATACACATGTACATAAATAAATAGTTATATAGTATGATATACTGTAATGGCATATGTAACCAACAGTATCAGTTATACATGGATATCTAATGGGGATATGATATCGATAGTTGATGAGGATACAGAGGTTTGTCTGAAAATGGGGTTATTGACGTTCCCCTGGCCATCAATAGGTCAAGGTCAAATGAATCAACATGATTCACTAATGGATTTAGGTGTACATACCCATTCTTCAGACAATTTCCTATCTCCCTGATCGTTGTTGGTTCAGCCTGAAGCAAAACATTGTCCTGATACCGTCACCATATAGTAAACCCACGAAAGATAGAAACACGTTTTTAGGATGGTAGTGCGAGGATGTTTTCCAGATATTTTCAAGGTTTCCCAGATTTTTCGGCATTTTTCTGGGCTTACTATCAGATGGCCCATAGCCTTCAAAAAGGACCTCCAGCAGCTGGTGATCAAAGGTGGCTGGCTGGGAAAATCATCGGTTACTAAATGTCGGATTTCCAGCCAGCCACGTTTGATTACCAGAGGGTAAGCATCATAAACCCACTGATAATCATGATAGCCTCTGGTAAACCAACAGTTTGCTATTGAACATGGCCATTTAAATTTAGTTCGTTGCTAATCATGAAAAACAATCCCTTCTCCCATCAAGACGCCGCAAGAATTCTAGTTCAGTATTGGATCGGTTCATGTTTGGGTTCCATTTAGGAAGGTTTGTTGATAGGGCTATGAAGAAGTCAGCTAGAAGACGCCTCTAAAAATTTAGTGTTTGGCTATTGGTCGATGATGAATCATATCCCATCCTGGGTCCCATCCCAAGTCTCGATTGTGTCTATGATTCAGCCAGAAAATAGCAGCAAAATATATAGGGGTGCAAATATACAACCTCCTTTCTTTTTACATTTATATAATATAAACTTCTGATGGTCAAGTCACCTATTTTTCGACCAACCCACATATCATATGGTTAGTCTTGTTAGTTGATATCCCATTATCACCATTGCATCCATAGTAATCCCCCCAAATATAGGAAAGTAAATCATCATCAAAACTAGTAGGCATGACTATCTTGACTCTCTTTTTGGGGATGACTGACTATATCTCTATCATATCTGGTTGGTGGTTTGGAACAATATCTGGTTGGTGGTTAATGATGGTTAATAATGTTAATAATGGTTAATAATATCTGGTTGGTGGTTTGGAACATGTTTTTTTTTTTTTCCATTTCATATATTGGGTTGTCATCCTCCACATTGACGAACCCCCAAAATTTTCAAGCTGGTTAAAACCACCAACCAGATAGTAGCATCATAAACCATAGTTAACTATAAATATAAACCCCATGAACTATAGTTATAAGTGTCATATACGAGTTTCTTTAAACCGTGTTTTGAACTTGTTAAACCATTAAAACCTCCATAGCTATGTTAAATAACCAGATGGTATCTCTATAATATCCTATACTCTATCCACATTACCCTCTGGTAAACTAACATAACTATGGAAAATCACCATTTTTAATGGGTAAATTAACTATAAATGGCCATTTTCAATAGCTATGTTAAATTACCAGAGGGTATATCCCCATTCCAAACATGAGATCTGCGAATGGCTCAAGGCGGCCCTATACTTCACACCTGCGCTCACCCGCAGTGAGCGCACGGTGGTTGGGCCTACGGCCCCTTCAGCATTTCGAAGTGGAGAGGAGGGTGAATTAAAGGGTGAACATAGGCAATTCATGGAAATTCCAGCAAAATACAACATAACAACGACAATGCATGACATGTTGTGAAATTCAGAATGTTTGGACAAGTTGATTGTCAATTTTTTTTAATATCTACAGGTGTCATTGGGCTTAAACAAAGTCTCAGACGCCACAGTTTTTTTTTGGAATGCTGGAGCAGCGACTCAGGATACCCAAAAATGACCATTAAAGAGGGATTTGAAAATAAGCGACAACCCGAAATCTGATGAGTACCATCATTTTCTCAAGAAAATGGCAATTCGGAGGTGAATCCACAATTTTCAGACACACCTATGTATCTATATACCTATATAACTATATATATATATATACATACATACATATCTATGTATATATATATAATATCTATCTGTGTATATATATATATATGCATATATATATACACAAACCATGCTTCATCACTGGATTTTCCCATGGTTTTCCCAGTGATTTAAGGTCCTCGCATCCGCGCTGCTGTTTTACAGCACGGATGGCTCAGCTTTGGGGGCCGGCTTTGGGCGAAAGCGCTCTCATCAATGGCATAATAGAATAGTAACCATGGAAGGAACCCCCAAAAAAGATAGAACAGGTCGAAGTTAGCACAGTTTGCCTATAGAATTTGGGATTTTACTGACTTTACTCTTACTTTTCTGTCTTTTTGGGGTTGCTATAGACAATGTTTATCTTTGCCATACTCTCCAGTAAGTCAATATAGCTAATGGAAACTCGCCATGAATGCATATCACTTTCCAACCGGGAAACAACCATGGATTTCCACATCCATCTTGATTCATCGGAGGGTAAATTTGTTATGCAGCTATGTTTGTTTCGTCGGGTGTCTAAGATTAGCCATGAGATGCGGTTTCCAAGGAAGTAGGTATCTGGTTGGTGATTTCATGTTAATATTACCCTCCAGTACTGGGTCAAAGTGGTAACTTATGCCGCGGTCATCTTCTTGTGCCGCAAACGGTGTGCCGTTGGGAAGTCCATGATATACATGTCATTCTTGCTGGATGAATCTATTGTTTGTGGCATTGATTTTTCTAACACTTTACAGGGGCACACATGTTTTCGAGACATATTCTTCTTGAGATAGAAACTCATGGGGATGGCCTCTCAATAGCTTGACTCGCACAGAAGAGAGAACAGTAGAAGAGAAGAGTAGAGTAGAAGAGACTATATACAGAAGAGTAGAGAAGAGAATCGAATTGAAGAGTAGAAGTGATTAGAGAGGCCTAGAGCAGAGAAGGGAAAAGTAGAAAAGATCCCTGCTGCCTTGCCCTGCTGCCTTGCCGTGCAAAATCCAGATCTCGTACAGATCTCGTAAAGACCTCGTAAGGATCTCGTAAAAATAACGCAATGAGAATGACATGTAGAACTCCTGGTCTTCTAGAGGTCAAGTTGATGGTGTGCCATGCGGTTTACAACGCTTTGTGTCAGGTTTAAGACAGATAAACGGTACAAAGCGTTGCAGTCCGCATAGGAACTTCATGAAAACAATGTGCACATACATGGATCGGCAAAGTGATCGGCTGCAGAAAAGAAAACTGTTACCTGAGTACTTGGATGTACTCGGTGTGCCAATGGGGAAAACAATCATGGATGACATTCTTAGAGATTAAATATGTTGTTCCGACAATGGGAATTACATCCGAGAACTTGGGTTGATAGAAAACAATTTGTAGGTGTGCCATGCGTTCCTTGACATTTGGGGTGAGGTCAAAGAATTTACGAACTGATGTAAAACGTACCAAATCCCTTAGGAAAATAACAAACCAATCCAAAAACCTGTCCGTGAGGGCCGGTGTGCCATGGTGATTTGCACATGGCGTAAGTTCTTGGGGTCGTGGGGTAAGCGGTGTGCCATGCGGTGGGGTAAGTTCATAGATTTTGGGGCAAGTTACCCCCCGGACTCGTACAGTCACATAGGTACTAATGGAGGCGGTTATATTAGCCACAATATTCCAGATATAGAGGTTTCCTGAAATGGGGATACCCAAAAATGTATGGTTGAACATGGAAAATCCTATTGAAATAGATGATTTAGGGCTACCCCGCAGGAAACCTCCATATAGATACTATATTATGAGGCGGTTATATGAGCTATAATTTAATATTCCATATAGGTACTGTGATATTCCCTAGGTATTATATTATGTACCCTCTGGTAAACTAACATAACTATTGAACATGGCCATAGAAATAGTTGATTTAGCCATTAAAAATGGTGATTTTCCAATAGTTATGTTAAATTACCAGAGGGTACTGTATCTATGAAGCAACTCCAAATCCCTTCCGTCGGCTTCGGGATGGATCGCCATCCGGTTTGTTAGGCCTCTGTCCAGCGGGGAGAGCACAAGATTCAACGTGAAAATTCAGCTGTTTTTGGTGAGTTATGACCTACTTTACATGTGGTAATCAAAGCACATTATAGATTTGTAGGTTTGAAAATCCATGTATCAAACACACATATCATGTGAGTTGTGAATGATGATACAGATGATGCATGCTTTCAGCTTACGTACTTTAACTATCGAGATACTATATCATGTATATCAAAATGGCCTACTCATCATATCTTTACATGCTTCAGCTCTATTATGCCCCATTTACATCAACCATACATCTGCCAATATTTTCGACTATATCATATAATATTTCCCATAGCAGGTTTATTTCATACCTATAACATAGCAATTCCCAAAAAGATGCAACAGCAAATCCAAACATTGAACCTTTTCGATCGTTTTGGGGCTTGCTGTATCATAGATTCAATGCCAATGATGGTTGGTTGAATCCATCTTTGGTTCCCATAAAAAAGGGCAATGTTTCAATGTTACCCTATGGGAATATGATATCATACCAACATTGGCTATCATACCATACCAGTAGGCCAATGGTACATCTAAGAAGGTGTCTGTTTCATTTCTATCATACCCTACTATGGCTCCAGACACCTTCTTAGACTGTACTTGGGGCTGCTTTTTGGGGTTTAAAGACCTTCTGAAACGCTACTCGGAGCGGATATTTCAAGCCCAACCACAAACCTCTGTGAAACATGAAGTCAACATTCAATCAACCATTGTTGCTGGTTAAATCATCATTTTTGCTGGTTTAATCAGCATTTTCGCTGGTTAAATCTCCTATCAATGGAGGTTCTCCGCGTCGTCTGAGGCGGCGCCTTCTTCTCCTACAGCGTGCTGTCACCGGCTGCGCTGGGCTTCTTCTTAGGATACTCGCAGGCGTCGCGGATCGGCGCGGAACCATCGAAATGTTGGTAGCAAGGGCAACGACAACAACAGCTAGCTTTTGGATTTATTATGTATATTATATATTTAAATATATTTAATATTTATATATTGTATATATATAATATATATATATTTAAATCACATACTGTAAATGCTATATATCATTTATTGTATATAGATGTATATAATATGTTTTTTAAACAATATTTTTCTTCTTTGAACATATACATTCGATATTGTATAATAGATATTATTGATATAGTATATGAATTCTAAATTTTAAATATATCTTACATATATTGGTGTACATATATGCATTTTATATTTTGAATAGTTTACATATATATATATTATGTATATATAATTATATGTATATACATGTATTAGTATTTTTGGATATGCATAATATATATATATGTATATGTATATGTATATGTAATTGTAATATGTATATGTATATGTATATGCACATTTGATAGTTGATATCTTGTACATCCTATTTTTACACATTTTTTTGTATTTTTTTAAGATTATGTCTAGTTTCATTCATGTTAAATTATTTTTTTACTATATTTTTTCATATAAGATAGTACTACTTATTCTATATATAATATTTTGTATATTGTATATATTGTAGGTTATATGTCTTATATTCTGTTTTAATCATAGAGAGTTTTTTCACAGGTCGGGGTTTATCCTCACCACGTTGTTGGCCAAAATCCGCTGTCAGGATGTCATCGAAAGTCAGTTTTCGATCGATCAGTACTTTGAGTTCATCTTGAGCACCTCGGAAAACTCGGACCGCTCGGTGTTTTCCACGTTTGGAAACGCCTGGGTGGCCATGGAAAAGGTACCACCGGCGGGATCGGAAAATGCTGGGATTTTATGGGGAGAATGGGGATACCTCTGGTAAACTAACATAGCTATTGAAAATGGCCATTGAAATAGTGGATTTAGCCATGAAAAATGGTGGTTTTCCATAGTTATGTAAACGTTTCCCAGAGGGTACTTGGTGCATTGGGGAGGTATATGGTACCACATGGTATCACATACGTTGGGATCTCATCCAAAAAATGGCCATATCCCTACTAAGTGGAACTGCCCAAATGGCGCTAGTTTGAGTGATTTACCCTCTGGTAAACTAACATAGCTATTGAAAATGGCCATTTATAGTGAGTTTTCCCATTAAACATGGTGATTTTCTATAGTTATGTTAGTTTACCAGAGGGTAGGACCAGTGATACATGGTACCGGGGTATTGTCGGTATTGTCAAATTGCGAACCAGGACTGCCAAATCTTTGGGGTTCACTACCCAAGATTGAGATGATTGGTGGACAACTACTATGGAAATCATTTGGAATTTTCCTAAGCAGATCATTGGGCTGGGGACTGGGTCAGCCTTCCAAAAATAGTTTCACACTTTATTTCTTTGGCCACAAGTGATGGTTTTAACCAACAAAAAAACATTCCTTTGGGTATCTAAGAGCGAGTTTCGGGAACCTGTTGGATGGGACATGAATCTTGGAGAGGACCGGTAGAGATGTCCTGTTTGACCAATTTCTGTGAAAAATCGTCAACCAATTTGGGTTTGTCTGAAAATAGTGTAGCCCTACACCCAATGGTTAATGATCATTATCCCTACTAAATGGCTATAATTGGGGGTATACCCCATTTTCAGACATACCCGTTTCTATAGTGACCAATTCCTAAAATTTTTGGAAAATCGTCATTGTTCTTCAGAGGGAGAGCCATTTTTCGCTGCTGGTTCTGTGAACGATCAGCTGAACGATTTTTCGCAAGACTGAAGAACGATTGCGTGCAGCTGAAGTACAGCACCATGAAATGGCGAAACGTGTGGATTGCAAAATGTCTTTAAGCACTTTGTGCAATATATATAGTTTGTCTGAGGTGCCAACACGCATGTCCAGTACTAAGGCTTTGTGGGTCGCGTGGCATCCATGTCCATGTCCCATATCTTCAACGAACTCCCTACTTCATCTCATCAATCTCATCAATCTCATCAATCTCATCAATCTCATCAATCTCATCAATCTCATCAATCTCATCATCATAGCCGTCGTCGTCATCATCATCATCATCATCACCATCATCATCCATGTACCCTCTGGTTATTTGACATAGCCATGGGATACAGCCCATTTATAGATGGTTTACCTATGAAAAATGGTGGATCATACAAAAAACCTAGCATACCTGGGGATTGTCGACCTGTTTTAGTTGGCCTCATCGGGGGTACCAGGGATTCCGGTCTTTTGTCGACTGGGACATCTTTTGATCAGTCAAGAAGTCAGCAACAATAGGAGACGAACTACAAAGAGTATCCTGGTTGGTGGTTTGGAACATTTTTTATTGTTCGATAGATTGGGAATGTCATCATCCCAACTGACGAACTCATATTTTTCAGAGGGATTGAAACCACCAACCAAAAGAGTATCCCTACCTGCCAAAATGTGGGTTTATCAGGTTCTCAGCTGCAAACATGGGGGATTTCGCCCGCAACGTGGACTTTGAGGCATGGGCTTTGCCACCGGCATCGCCTTCCAAGTGCCTGTGCTGCAGGCTCGCCCCATGGGGGGGTTGAAACCAGCAGTGGATGGTCATCCGTGAAGGTCTCGATGATTTCATGGTTGATAGTTTCAAAATTGTGTTTGCTAATTCATTTGGATGGTGAATAACAATATTAATATTAATACAGTATCTTATATTAATAATACTATATGCATTATATGCCCAACATCCCAGTCACTGGATCGTTGATGGCCGACATACCACAAAACGGACCTCTCTGGTCCGACGGACCAGGTGGCTTTGGGCCTCTTGGGCGTCATCGACTCGCAGAAACTTTTCGCGGTTCGATCCTAAGGTTGGAGAGCATAGGGCCCCACTTGACTTTTTTTTTGATGCGATACTTGAGAGATGCGTTGCACATTTCCCAAGCTTTACGTGGTACCATCATTCATATGTTTACATAATCCTTTCCCCGTAATACTAAAGGATCCGCCCCCCAAAAAAACGACCTGGAGTAGTTTTTAGTATTAGGGGGTATTTCATATTTGGGGCAAACACTTCCCCTCAATAATCAAATCAAAACCTTAATTGAAGAACTAAACCTGTCAATTTCAAAATCGATTGGATTCCTTTTTAAGATTTATATTGCCAAAAATTGGATTTCGAAGCTTTCCCCCTATTAACCAAATCAAGACCTCATTTTTTAAAATCAAATGCATCGAATTCCTTCTAAAATCTATATAGAATATCAAATTACCAGAAATTGAATTTGAACACTTTCCCCTGCTGATCAAATCAAAGCCTTAATGAAACAGACTAAAATTTTCGAATTCAAAAGGCGGTTCCTAATTTCATGACCCCAAAGTCAATTAAGTTTTGTTCTTAGGGGGTAGAAACGCATTTTTGGGTATGCTGGCCTCCTATTATTACTTTTCAATTGCCACAACTTTTCAATTGCCACAATTGAAAAATGCAAGTGACAACACCACCAAATACACAAATTGGGAACGGAATCTAATTTTAGTCTTCGGGGGACGTTTAGTAATAGGGGGGCAGGGATTATACATACCAACATGTAAGATATAATATGGACCAAATGTAGGTAATGTGGGTAAAACAAAAATAAACTATCCCCCACCATAAATAGGTGGTAGAAAATGTATAAACTAGTATAAACCATTCCCAACTGGGTGGTTTATTATTGTTTTACCCACAGAGCAAATACATCCTCCATGTCAGGAGTCAGTGTTGCTCCGCCATTGGCTGGAGATGTTTCATCCTAGGAAGCATCGCCCGGAAATGCAGGTGGAATGTGCATTTAGTACTAGTAACATTTAGTAACCAGAATAGAACCCAGTTATATGTACGGAGTCAGCCGGTTGTATGTGGATATAATCATACCTGGTTGGTGGTATGGAACATGAAATTTATGACTTTCCATATATTGGGAATGTCATCATCCCAACTGACGAACTCATCTTTCTCAGGGGTAGGTATACCACCAGCCACCAACCAGTTTTTTTTTTGGGGGGGGGTGTTATACTCATGTGGTAAATTCCAAGATAGACCCTATCATGATCATACCCACTTTATTTTGCAAGCCTTAAAACATTGGCTGTTTTTTTCCCACTCCGGGGGGTTCTCCCCCAACACATCAACACACACAAATCGCCAAAATCGCGCTGAGATCTGGCGGTATGTTGTGGTGGGAAGCGCTATTGCTACTTGACAAAGGGCAAGAGCTTTGGTTGGGGTAGTTTGGTTATAACCAGTATGCTTGGATGTGTCTTAAAATGGGTGATATAGTGATATACCTTAAATCCAATTGACTGTGTTGTCATTTAATGTAGGGAACATGATGCCAGGTAAGTGGATTTAGGGTTTCCCCATATGTTTTCAGAAAACCCACATGTGACATGGTCAAAAGTTAATATCCACATTGGAGGATTGTCACCAATTGTGTAGGGATTTTGAATTCCCATTACAAGGATTCCGTATTCATGGGATGGATGACCAATACCACATGCTTCGCATGCTTCAAGCATATGTACCACCATGTTTGATCTTGTCCTGGTTTATTCATATGATCATCGGTTATAACCCTATTTTAAAAAATACCAGCTTGTTTGTTGCAGTGACAAGTTTCCTGGAACGAGCACACTGGACTCGCAAAGAATGGTGAATTGACATGACACTCAACCGTCAAATCAGCATGTGCAATGCTTGGCTCCCAAAACTTTAGGTTACATACAGGATGGTGCCCCCCAGTTATGTTTGTTGGTTTATAAACCCCATTAACTATAGTTATATCTGCCATAAACCATAGTGAAATGGGAGTTATAAACCAACTTAGCTAACGAACTGGGGCACCACCTTGTAGGGTACAGTCACTGATTCAGGAGTGCACTCTAAGGGTCCAATCATGCAAGGTTATGCCTCACCCCGCTTCCAATCCACGCATCACCTATTTTGCTGATGATTATGACCCTGCAAAAATAAGAGCCATGCTTCGGGAGATAAGCTTGATTCGAAGGGGCAAAGGATTTGAACGTTCCAAACCACCAACCAGATATATTCTACCATTATTAACCATTATGAACCATTATTAACCATGTCAAATGGTGAAATATTGTAAAACCCTCCGATACACAGCCAGAGCCAGTTCTGAATAATCACTATCAATCTCCAACGACCAAGCTCCATAAACGAGGATTAACATTACTGGAGTTCAACATCCAATTTCCGGGTGAAAAAACAATGTCATTATGATAACGATGAATTCACAGATTTCAGGGATCCTCCAAGAATTCTAGAAACCTTTTCTAGACATTTTCCCATCCATTTTTCCACTTTTCTAGACATTTTCCCATCCATTTTTCCACTTTTCTAGACATTTTCCCATCCATTTTTCCACTTTTCTAGACATTTTCCCATCCATTTTTCCACTTTTCTAGACATTTTCCCATCCATTTTTCCACTTTTCTAGACATTTTCCCATCCATTTTTCCACTTTTCTAGACATTTTCCCATCCATTTTTCCACTTTTCTAGACATTTTCCCATCCATTTTTCCATTTTTCTAGACATTTTCCCATCCATTTTTCCACTTCCCATCCATTTTTCCACTTTTCTAGACATTTTCCCATCCATTTTTCCACTTTTCTAGACATTTTCCCATCCATTTTTCCACTTTTCTAGACATTTTCCCATCCATTTTTCCACTTTTCTAGACATTTTCCCATCCATTTTTCCACTTTTCTAGACATTTTCCCATCCATTTTTCCACTTTTCCAGACATTTTCCCATCCATTTTTCCACTTTTCTAGACATTTTCCCATCCATTTTTCCACTTTTCTAGACATTTTCCCATCCATTTTTCCACTTTTCTAGACATTTTCCCATCCACCACTTTTCTAGACATTTTCCCATCCACCACTTTTCTAGACATTTTCCCATCCACCACTTTTCTAGACATTTTCCCATCCACCACTTTTCTAGACATTTTCCCATCCATTTTTCCACTTTTCTAGACATTTTCCCATCCATTTTTCCACTTTTCTAGACATTTTCCCATCCATTTTTCCACTTTTCTAGACATTTTCCCATCCATTTTTCCACTTTTCTAGACATGTTCCCATCCATTTTTCCACTTTTCTAGACATGTTCCCATCCATTTTTCCACTTTTCTAGACATGTTCCCATCCATTTTTCCACTTTTCTAGACATTTTCCCATCCACCACTTTTCTAGACATTTTCCCATCCATTTTTCCACTTTTCTAGACATTTTCCCATCCATTTTTCCACTTTTCTAGACATTTTCCCATCCATTTTTCCACTTTTCTAGACATTTTCCCATCCATTTTTCCACTTTTCTAGACATTTTCCCATCCATTTTTCCACTTTTCTAGACATTTTCCCATCCATTTTTCCACTTTTCTAGACATTTTCCCATCCATTTTTCCACTTTTCTAGACATTTTCCCATCCATTTTTCCACTTTTCTAGACATTTTCCCATCCGTTTTTCCACTTTTCTAGACATTTTCCCATCCATTTTTCCACTTCCCATCCATTTTTCCACTTTTCTAGACATTTTCCCATCCATTTTTCCACTTTTCTAGACATTTTCCCATCCATTTTTCCACTTTTCTAGACATTTTCCCATCCATTTTTCCACTTTTCTAGACATTTTCCCATCCATTTTTCCACTTTTCTAGACATTTTCCCATCCATTTTTCCACTTTTCTAGACATTTTCCCATCCATTTTTCCACTTTTCTAGACATTTTCCCATCCACCTTTCCATTTTTCTAGACATGTTCCCATCCATTTTTCCACTTTTCTAGACATGTTCCCATCCATTTTTCCACTTTTCTAGACATGTTCCCATCCATTTTTCCACTTTTCTAGACATGTTCCCATCCATTTTTCCACTTTTCTAGACATGTTCCCATCCATTTTTCCACTTTTCTAGACATTTTCCCATCCATTTTTCCACTTTTCTAGACATTTTCCCATCCATTTTTCCACTTTTCTAAACATTTTCCCAGATTTTCCCATTTTTCCACTTTTTCCAGACATTTTCCCATCCATTTTTCCACTTTTCTAGACATTTTCCCATCCATTTTCCACTTTTCTAGACATTTTCCATCCATTTTTCCACTTTTCTAGACATTTTCCCATCCATTTTTCCACTTTTCTAGACATTTTCCCATCCATTTTTCCACTTTTCTAGACATTTTCCCATCCATTTTTCCACTTTTCTAGACATTTTCCCATCCATTTTTCCACTTTTCTAGACATTTTCCCATCCATTTTTCCACTTTTCTAGACATTTTCCCATCCATTTTTCCACTTTTCTAGACATGTTCCCATCCATTTTTCCACTTTTCTAGACATTTTCCCATCCATTTTTCCACTTTTCTAGACATGTTCCCATCCATTTTTCCACTTTTCTAGACATGTTCCCATCCATTTTTCCACTTTTCTAGACATGTTCCCATCCATTTTTCCACTTTTCTAGACATGTTCCCATCTATTTTTCCACTTTTCTAGACATTTTCCCATCCATTTTTCCACTTTTCTAGACATGTTCCCATCCATTTTTCCCTCAATTTTCGGGGCAAACTCCGCCACCCTTCGAGGTTGGCGCCATCCTGACGCCCTCCACGGATCCCGTAACGCAGCTGCTGCTCTCGGGCGCACTGTTCCTCAGTCGCAGGTTGTGAGAAATGCCACGGAAAAGATGGGAGATACTATGGGAAGGTATGGGAAAATATGGGAAATCACATGAGTGGGATATTACAAACAGATATGATTCATGATTGATCATACAAATATAGTACAACCAAAGATTTTGGTGATAAAATCATCAAGAGGAAGTGATAATAAGGGATAACCAACCAACAGATAATATGAGAGAATATGGGATAATATCGGAAATCACATGAGTGGGATTTACTGGAACCACACTTGATTTGATATGATTCACTAATAGACAACATTATGGGATAACCATAGATCAGCAACCAACCAATTTGCCAATTTGGAATCCATGGGATTTCCACTGATGTAACCAACCAACATGGGACATATTGAGTTTTCGCCACAATGGAGATGTAACTGATGGAGTACTTCGAGGATTCGGGTGTTTAGTATGACCATCCCCCAATGACTGGCTAGTCATCCTCGAACTTAACTTATCATGGCACAGCAATAAGGTTAAGGTGATCACCCAGGTTGGGGACTTAACAGAGACTAGTAATCAGTTTTCAAGTATCCTCCAGGTGCCTGTGGGTCAATGTTTCTTTTTGGCCTAATTAGTTGCTAGTTAGGAAAGGGTTGACACCTATTGTTACATATCATTACCATTTATTACCATATTTGAGAGAATAAACATCCGTTCGCCAACTATTTTAGGGTACCATCTGGGTACCGTTTGGTTTAGGCTCCATGAAATCTAACGTTTGGGCCTTAGATGAGACACCTTGTCGTATCACTGGTAGGTAAACTATGAGACACGGTACATGTTGTTTGTTGTATGATCGTATTCCCAGACTTTTTGTGGGCAGCTTTTGAATTGGCGAAACGGGAAATATGATAGACCACCCGCTGTTGGGTTGGTGAATAATCCATGTTTCCAGTGGATTTTGGCTGATGGCAATCCCACACCTTCCAGACAGAAGCCAGACTTGGACACACCAAACCACGCAAAGAATTATTCAATTATTCTATTGATCCATTTTGAGGATCTTATTTTTTATTCCAAACACAGACTTTCAAGAGAATTTGGTCCACTCTACATATGGAGGTTTCCTGAAATGGGGCTACCCCTTTTTTCATCATCCATTTTCATAGGATTTTCCACGATTTTCCACCAGAAAAACCAACCATTTTTGGGGATCCCCATGACTGTGGAAACCTCCGATCCATCGACGGCCTTGGACCTCCAAAACCTCCGGCACCGTAGCACCGCAGGTGTGCGCTGTACTTCGCTGGTGGAGCCGTGTTGAAAGCGCTTGGGCGCTGATGGACAGAGGTGGAAAAAAGGGACCGGTTGGGACCGGAGAACCGCGGCAAAAACGGGGATCTGTAGCTGGTTCACAACTTGTGAAAAACTAGGATTAATGGAGAGAAACCTTTTTCCAGTAGTTAAAGTTTGGTTTATAAATCAACTTATTCAACTTATAACTTAGGGGCACCATCATGTATGTTCATGGGAATTGAACCAACTCCCAAAAGTGACCAGCCCAATAACAAGGGCTTAGCAAGGGAGTAACCACCAACAACCACTGACCAGGGTTTAATACCCATCATTGGGGAGGTTGGTCGCAAGTGACTTCCGTCTAATCCCCAAATGTTGAACATAAAAAATAACTGGCTCAATGTTCTCAACGTTTCCACAGAATTTGAAAAGTAAACTTCAGGAATTTAAGTATTCTACCAAAATTTAGTGATCTCATACCTAATCTTGATATATCAACCATCTGTTTGGCCATTACATCAATTTTTTTCAGCATTCCATGAAGTGAAAAATCGCTACTAAGACCCTTTTTTGTTTGGCATTCTCCCCATTGATATCCCAACAATCTGTGGATTCTGCTGGAACTTTTGTAAAGCCTTGGAGCTCCGTGAAGCCTTCGGCTCAAAAAACACCCCGAGCTGCACAGCACGGTGGCGCAGCGGCCATGTGGCGACTGGGGCGCCTTCCGATGGCGAGGCCGTGGCCAAAAACGCATGTCCTATGTCCCATGGCTTTTTTGTTGGAGCAATGCCAACCACTGTTGTTTTTTTCTGAAAATGGATAAGTCTCAAAGAATTAAATATTGGGTACATACTGGGGTCAATCCGTGTACCATGTGCGTATTTTACCACGCAATGTAGTTCTGTTGATCAGACTCCCACTTTGATTGCAATGCACATGTGTCTTGAGCGAAACCAACATGATTTTCTTTAGCATCGTTGTTGGTGTTCAGCATCACTTTTGTTGATCAAATCAAGCACCATTTTGCTTGATACATGATAAAAGCATCATTTGAACATCAAAACATATCAGAACAACCAATTATTGCTTAGTCTTCTACACTCCATCCTTGGCTCTGAAAAATGGTTCATCATCTCATTTTTGCAAACCTGGCCACAGGAGGCTGTCCGTCAGGATGTTTCATCAGCTTCCAACGCCCTGGAGACAGGCCAATGTCTTGTGCTTTTAATGTCAACCCCGGATGAGACTAAAGCCTGGTTGATTGGGGGGGTGACCCCAACCAGTGATAATCTGCTAGTAAAGTTGTTTTTTCCAAACATGTTGGACACATATTTCATCACAAACTTGTTGTCATGGACGCAGTAAAGAGTAAAGAGTGGCAACACACCGCCTCTGCCAACTAGACCCTTAGTTTGGGGTGAGCGAATAGTTAATTAGTGATAGAATGGTCGGCTAATTCCTGTAGGGGGTTGTAAAGTTGTAGTGGTTGGTTCGATAAGGTTTGTTGGGATTCATCCGTTGAGCAGCCTGGATTTTGCTGTTTATCTCACTGTTCACATTATTCATGGATGGCAAGGGAGGGCGACACATATTCTCAAAATTTGAGCACTGAAACACAGTCATCCTTCAACAGTCATCCTTCAACAGTCATCCCCAGTCCCCAGTCATCCTTGGGCCCCGGAAGTGAATATGTCCTTCTTGTTGATAACATCGGCAGCTATAAGCGCAGTAAAACTCCCATCAAATCATCCTGCTAGTTAAGTTGTCCATCATTATACAGTATGTCGTAGGTACTTCATCCTACTTAGTAAGTGGGCTATTTACTTGGGCATCAATTCGGTAATTGCAGTGATTGTCCACTTACAACCTTTCGGTAACTGATATACGATCTACAGGGCAGACTTGATAAGATGTACTTTACTAAATGGTTTTAATATACGTACATTTAGTAAAGTATCTAAGGTTTAATATAGTCCTCATCTAACTTTACATTAGCACAGTAGTGGTTTAATATATGTACTTTACTGGGCTACAATGGCCATCTCAAGCAGCTACAGCACTTACGAAGCGGCAGCTACATCCAGTTCGGATCATCCCACTGAGGGCTGGTTTCTATGGTGATTATAACATGATTTATAAATTGCTATGACATGTTACAACATGTTATAAAAAAATGGTATACTATGGTCAAGAAAACAATCTATCTAAGATCAATAAAAATCAATAAACATCACCGATCAATCCCCATTTCTTGTTGGTTACGTCCCTATTTTTGAGCCAGGGCATCCCTATTGACCGCGTCTTCAGGCGCGTCTTCCGGCACGACTTCCGGCCATGGCCCCGGTGCGGCGGTACTTTAGTGTGGAGATCAAGATTGAGGACCGAACAAAAAAATGTGGGTTTTGGGTAAATCTGCGGAGCTGTTTTTTGGTGAATCTGTGGAATTGTGTGTGTATATTTATAATTATATGTATATGAGATGTGTATATATATATGTATATGTATGTATGTGATATATGTACATATATATATGTATATATGTGATATATGTGCATATATATATATATGTATATATATATACGCACTATATGTGAGATATGTATATGGTGAACGTACCTATGTCCAACTTGGTGATCTTGTCGGGGATCGGGGCCGTTTAAAACGGTGGAATCAACATCAACATCCCATGGAACCAAACTTCTGCCGCCCGTGTTGACATGGTTTGAATGGAACACTCATGTGGGTGAAGCAAGAGGAAACCATTCCCAATTTAAACATCAAATATGGGTTGTATAAAACCTCAAATATGGGTGGTTTATTATGAAAACACTATAAAACCATCAAATATGGGTGGTTTCTTATGTTTGTTGCTTTACCAAAAAAACTACTCAAAATCACCTCGATAGTGGGGAAGCTCAAAGGATCCACTGATTTTTAGTCAGAGGTATCATCCTTGGACAAATTTTCCGGTGAATCTATGTGAATGGTGGGTTAATGGCTTTTAAATAGTCAACATCTAACCATTAACAAATCAGGGATATAGACCCATAGAAACCTTCAGATGGACCAGTAGGTTATTATCACTATTTCATCCTATTTCATTGGGAGTTCAGTCAAATCTGTATTTTTTGGGTTTTGGGGATTACTTCTCGCCATGGCGGAGAAGTTGCCATCGGCGAGGGTCGAGCCTGGGTTAATGTTGATGGAAGGATAAAGGTGCAGTATATGGAAAAAATATGGGATGGGTCAACACATATTCCTCCATAAAATTTGGATGTCCATAAATCTCAGCTATACTTACTGGTGCTTAGTAAGGAATGAGGGAATGATCTATAATAACCACTAGTAATAATCATCCCAGCAACCCCCAGCAACCCATCCATTCCCTACGTTTTGCACCAATAAGTATAACCTGATGTGAACGATACATGGTACCAGTGTTTTGACGAACCTCTCATCAGGCAACCAGGTGTTGCCATCCCCATCAGCCGTTGGGATCCATTGGCTGTAAATCACTCGCTAGTACTGTTCGTGGTGTACATAAGGTTAACTCCTGGTTGGGGGGTTGGTTCGTGGTTGGTTCCATAAGGTTTGTTGGGATTCATACACAAAAAGCAGCCTGGATTTTGCTGTTTACCCTCTGGTCAACGTTTACATAGCGAACTGGAAAATCCTCCCATTTTGTAGCTGGGTAAATCATCTATAAATGATTATAAATGGGCCATTTTCCCATAGTTAGCTATGTTAAATTACCAGAGGCTACTGGTTCGTGGTGTACATTAAAATGATTGTAAAGAAGCCTGAGTCATCACCACTATATATCTGGTTGGTGGTTTCAAACATTTTTTATTTTCCATAATATCTAGGATAATCCTTCCCATCGACTAATATTTTTCATGATGGTTAAAACCACCAGCCAGATATCCATTTAGAAAAAAACGCTACATCACCGTTGTATCACCCAGAAATCCTGATAAAATTCCTGCAGGACTTTGGGGGCGAGAGCATCACGGAGGGAACCATCATGGAATGGCAGCAACTTTGGCGACGTGAGGGAAGCATGATTGGATAAATCAAGGGCTATATGTACCCTCTGGTAAACTAACATAGCTATTGGAAATCACCATTTTTAATGGGAAAACTCACTATAAATGGCCATTTTCAATAGCTACGTTAAATTACCAGAGGGTACTGCTTGGTGGTTTGGAACCATGGAATTTTATGACTTTCCATATATTGGGAATCATCATCCCAACTGACGAAATCCATCATTTTTCAGAGGGATAGGCTCAACCACCAACCAGTGTATTATATATAGATATATATATATGGCTATGGGTCAAAACCTATTATTACCATATTTTGGGGGAATAAACCTCCATTAACCAGCTATTTTAGGGTACCATCCGGTTACCAGGGGTTTGACCCATAACCATATGGGATTGGAGGCGAACTTGTTCCAAAACTCGATGGACGTTGGGCTGGAAATTAAGTAACTTTCATGGATTCTAAGATATTCTAACCAATAGCTCTTATGTAGAATAACAAACACCTTCATCATGTATTATATATATATATATATATTCATATTATGTCTATGATATATGTATTATGTATCATCTATCATCTATATCTATAATATATCTATCTGCTGTGGATGGAAGAAATCCCACGCCACCAAAAGGATGGTTGAACCCCTCTGAATAATGGGATAAAGCTTTCAACTGCAGGATTTCGCTGGCCCATCCACAGTATGTATCATCTATTATCTATAAATACATGTATTATGTATCATCTATTATCTTTATAAATATCTACACTAATTATATCTACACTAGTTATATCTATACTAATTATATCTATACTAATCATATTTAGTAGATCTGCATCATCCAATCACCAGTCGCCATCCAAACCTTTCCGAACCGTTCCTCCGTTTCACGGCTGCCGTCCAGGAAGAAGGTGGGGGACTTCTGCGCCAAAGATGACATCCTGGTGCTCATCGAGACCGACAAGGTCACCATTGAGGCGCCGATTTTTTTTCGGAACGGAACGGCGAGGGATTGGGGGATTTTTGTCATGGGGAAAAATGGTGGTTTAATGGTGGTTTAATGGTGGTTTAACCAACAAAAATGGTGATTTTAATGGGATTTAGTATTTAGCATCTGGTAAACTGTTACACTTTGCGAACTGGAAAGTGGCCATAGAAATAGTGGATTTAGCTGGTTATAATCCCTTTGAAATATTAATATCTTATTGAAATAGGTATAATAGCATATCATAATCATTACATATATATATACACCCTCTGGTTATGTCAAAATAGCTATTGAACATGGCCATTTATAGTGAGTTTTCCCATTAAAGATTGTGATTTTCCATAGTTATGTAAACGTTTACCAGAGGGTAATGATGGGGATAATGATGGAGATGTACATACATATGTATGTGCATATATATATATATATAATGGGAGAAACATTTTTGGATTATAATGGGGACAGCAATGGAACGTGTTGGGAATATCATGGGGATATAGATATTTGGGACACTTCATATGAGAATACGCTATTTTGCATTTGATATTGCATGGCAATACATATTGTATATATTTATGAAACCAGCAACAGGGGAGGGTATAATAGGGAGATCGTGGAGATAACAATGGACATTTAATAAAATATAATGAAATATAATGGTGAGTTTGATTTGGATATAATGGGAAACACTGGGATATAATGATATAATGGCATACACACCAATATGAACTTTGAGTTTGTCAGTTTGTCCAGAAATAGGTTATTTGCACATATGCGCGGCTATCTTAATGTGGAAGATGATTTTCTACAGGCTTTTTGTAGCCCATTTTCAGACAATCTGTGAGATAGCTAGGTTAAGAGGTTCTCATCTAGTTCTTGATATAGCGAGTTGGTTGCAATCCAACTGACAATAGATTCAACAAGCGGATGATTTCAGTACTTGGGAGATGTCAAATACGTTGTCATGAGATATTTTGCTTATTCCAATCATAGCCGATTATGTCAACACCATGCTGTAGCATATATCTGGGTAAATTTCATCACGACCTCACTGCGATCACTGGAATCATGGTTAGTAAGGGGAATCATCTCCAAATGGCCGAACTATTCAGGTTAGTGAAATATTATAATTTACCCATATATATATATATATATATATGGGAAAGTGATAGTCATATACTATGGTAAACATACAACAAACTGTGGAAAATCACCATTATTAATGGGTAAATCAACTATTAATGGGCATTTTCAATAGCTATTGATAGTCATATACTATGGTAATCACCATTATTAATCACCATTCTTAATGGGTAAATCAACTATTATATATAATATATATATATACACCATATAGCCAACATTTCATTCTCCCCATGGTGATTCTCCCAGCGTTGATGCTTCTCCTGAAAAACGGCATCGGCGAATGGGCGGATCGATACGAAAAACAGACAGGTCACTCAGCGGCTCATCATTTGCTGTCAATTTTGGTATCAAAGAACCATAGAAAACCATAGAAAACAGAGTCCTACAATTTCGATTGAAACTTTTTTTGAGTCGTTATCATTCTGGAACCCAAATTGACTTTCATTTCAACCTCCCAAACTGAAAATCGTTTGGGAAGGGTCATTTGGCTACTGGCTATAGACATGGATCATCCACTTTGATGATCAATTTGTAATCCCATTGAATCACCATGTCTCTGAATTTAATCCCAATGAATCACCATTATTCACCATTCATAGCCATGAATTAATATTAACAACAATTATTCACCATGATTCACAATTATTAACCATTAATAGCCATTAATAGCCATTAATAAGCACAATGATTGCCCATTCAAAACCAAGAATTCCCCAGGAATAACCATTTCATTCATCTCGATCCCCGTGCCGCCCGCCGTGCGGCACGCCGTGCAGCCCGCCGTGCAACACGAGGTCAAGGCGCCTGAGAATGGCATCTTGGAGAAAATCGTGGCAGAGGCCGGAAGAAATCGCTGGCTGTTTCGGGAAAATCCACGGGTTTTGGTGGTTTGGAACCATGGAATTTTATGACTTTCCTATTGGAAAAAACCATCGATGGGAGAGATGATGAACTTATCAACCAACAAGAGGTGTTGGATGATATGGAACCATGGAATTTTATGACTTTCCATATATTGGGAATGTAATAATCCTAACTTAGCCTAACTGATTAATATTTTTCAGAGGGGTTTAAGCCACCAACCAGTCCATGATTTTTACCAAGAGATCACTAAAGATATATCCAGACAGCTATTATGAACATATTATCCATATTATGTATCCATATATCCATACATATGTTTACCATCTACAAATGGGGATGTAAGACTACTATATACTCTTATGGTTATATGGAAAATCCATCATTTTTACAATGTGGGGCCCCTAGAATCTAGATAGCTAAGTTGGTGAACATAACTAGGTTAAGTATGGTTTATGGATGTTTATGGTAGATATATCAATAGTTCTTGGGGTTTATGAACCAACTTACAACTACGGGGCCCCACATTGTACATATTTTTACCATCTACACATGGGGATGTAAGACTATTGTATACTATTATGGGTACCCTATGGAAAGTCATCATGTGTCATCAAACATCGTTTTCTATGTGCAATGTCTTTCATAGCTGTAATCATAGGAAAATATGGGAACATGTTGGAAGAAACATTCTGAAATGGAGGTTAGTCTATGGGTCATTTTCTATTTCTATGGGTCTTATTTTCCATAGCTACCCCCTGGTTATTCAACATAGCCATGAAAAATCACCATTATTAATGGGTAAATCAACTATAAATGGCCATTTTCAATAGCTACGTTAAATTACCAGAGGGTACCATTTGACGACCCAATTTATTCACCCCAATGGGTGTTTGCAAATGGCGGATACCCCCCAAGTATTGTTTGATCATAGGCAGTTTTGCGATGATTTTTCGCAGATGTTTGGGGTCAGCACAGATATTTAGACAACCCCACTTGCAAATTTAAGATCTAAACTTGGTTGAGGATGAGAATATATGAGAATGGTGAGACAAGGGTTCTTTTATTTAGTCTTATTCTGACTGAATCATAACGACCTCAGATAGACGTCATCATGAATTATGGCTAGTAAGGGCAAATAGGCAAATACCTCAAAGTGGCCTTGTTGTTTATTTCAGGTAGGTGAGTTATTTCAATTCAGCCAGTCTTATTGATACAGTGCGATGATGGTGATGTTGATGATGATGATTATGATTATGATGGTGATGATAATCTAGCAAATCTTGACCTTGTTGGCTGTATTTCTGTCGTAATTTTGGAAGTACCAAAAATGGTAGTTATCAGTTTGTTACAAAGGTACATAATGGTACCATATCAATCTCGATAGTGTATATATTCACATATTTTTCTGTCTATCTATGTATATTTCACATGATCATGCTGTTCACTTCGCTATCTTGACTTCCAACAGCTTTTTACCATGTTTGGAGCCTGCCACCATAGCACCGGTCAACGTCGGTACCCGGCGCAGGTAGATGCCACAGTGGAGAAAAACGCGCTCCTGGCCACCTTCAGTCCAGGTGGCACCTTGGACTTTTGAACTTTCAAGTTATGATAGATTGCAACTAATGTGGGTAAAACAATGTCATCAAACCATCCATTTGGGAATGGGACACATACCACCTTTTTATGGTGAGTTGGGGGATAGTTTATTATTGTTTTGCCCACATTGTTCTCTTCTTTGATTTGCGAACTATTGCATACTGTAAATATAGATCATGATATGGAACATATTGGTATCGGGAATGTAATCACTTTATATGAAACCAATATTTCCAATATATACATAGAAATACACGAACTCAGATGAAACATACGCTAATATGGAGGTTTCCTAAAATAGGGGTACCCCCAAATCATCCATTTTGAATAGGATTTTCCATTATAATAAACCATCCATTTGGGGGAACCCCCATTTATGGAACCCCCATTTATGGAACCCCCAATAAAAGCCAATGGAATTTTTGCCATGTGTTCTGAGGTGAACCGCCCCCGGCTGCTGCGGCCGCCTCGCCCGCGCCCGAAACCCCCGCGGAACCGGCCGTGGCACCAGCCGCAGCACCCGCGACGCCGGCGGCAGCGCCCGCGGCGCAAGCAGCGGCGCCAAAGGCGGCACCCAAGGCGGCGCCGAAGCCAGCGAAGCCCGGGAAACTTGGTGAAGTTGTGAGGTTGGGAAGCATGTTTAAGCAATCAGAAATGGAGTTTTAATATGTTTTACTGGGATTTCAAGCAACAAAAATGGTGAGTGGGAAATCAGAAGATAGAATGCGGGTATAATGGGGATGTAGTTGTGGTTTGAAGTAGGTATAACTGTGGTGATTACTTCCGTAAGTTGGAATGTTATGGGCCCCCCTCCAACTATGGCTCTATACCCGCCACTGCAGCACCCCCAAAGTGGGGAGAAACATTGGTAAACATGGCGCATTTGTTAACAGGGGAAAGCAATGATGCGTTTTTTGAACAAACGAAAGCTATGTAATCATTGCAGCAAGAATTGTTCAATTGGCAGAGACTTCGACTTAAACCCTAGCCTAGGAATACCACACACAGGGAAGGAGTCAGGAGTTGATTGGGAATTTGAGACTGTGGGAGCCAAACTATTCTCATCCAACATGCTGTAGTGGTGCTGATGTTCTCTTAGAGTTTGTATCGGTCTGATCATCCTGATAGTCCAGCAGCGTTGGTCGTCATGATCATCATGATCCATATATCATCATATATCATCACCACCCTTTTCGTGGGGTGTAAGCATGGGGGACGTTCAAAAAGTGTAAGCAACAATTTTGACCCCTTCGTATTTTCTCCCGATGGGGAAGGCTATATGTATGTTAGACCCTCCTACGTCAAAAACCGTGCCCGGGAAGATTTACATTTAGGGGGGTTGAAAGTCCGTAAGAGATACGTCAACCTGTATCCCCCTCCGAACCCCCCCCCCCGTACTCTACGGATAGGGGGGGCGTGGGGGAAGGTAAAAATTGTTAAATGTCCGCAAGCAGTTTGGAAACTGTTTGTGAGGTGTCTTTGTGGGGATGTAATCAACCCATGTCTGAGGTCCATACAAGTTCCTTGCAGAAAGTGTTCGAAAAAAAAAAGGTAAAACTAAGATAGAAAAATGTAACCATCCTACGCCTGAGGCCTTAAACTTCCTGGCAGAAAGTGCTTAAAAAAGAAGGTAGAGATGAGATCAAAAAATGTAACCATCCTACACCTAAGGTCCTTAATTCCTTGCAGAAAGTGCCCAAAAAAGAAGGTGGAGATAAGATAGAATCATGTAACCATCCTACACCTGAGGCCTATGATTCCTTTTAGAAAGTGCTTAAAAACAAGTCAAACATGAGATAGACAAATGTAACCATCCTACACCTAAGGTCCTTAATTCCATGCAGAAAGTGCTTAAAAACAAGTCAAACATGAGATAGACAAATGTAACCATCCTACACCTAAGGTCCTTAATTCCATGCAGAAAGTGCTTAAAAAAGAAGGCACACATGAGACAGACAAATGTAACCATCCTACACCTAAGGTCCTTAATTCCTTGCAAAAATTGCTTAAAAAGAAGTCAAACATGAGATAGACAAATGTAACCATACTACTTCTAAGGTCCTTAATTCCTCGCAGAAATTGCTTAACAAGAAGTCAAACATGAGATAGACAAATGTAACCATACTACACCTGAGGCCTATGATTCCTTTTAGAAAGTGCTTAAAAACAAGTCAAACATGAGATAGACAAATGTAACCATCCTACACCTAAGGTCCTTAATTCCATGCAGAAAGTGCTTAAAAAAGAAGGCACACATGAGACAGACAAATGTAACCATCCTACACCTAAGGTCCTTAATTCCTTGCAAAAATTGCTTAAAAAGAAGTCAAACATGAGATAGACAAATGTAACCATACTACTTCTAAGGTCCTTAATTCCTTGCAGAAATTGCTTACAAAGAAGTCAAACATGAGATAGACAAATGTAACCATACTACACCTGAGGCCTATAATTCCTTTTAGAAAGTGCTTAAAAACAAGTCAAACATGAGATAGACAAATGTAACCATCCTACACCTAAGGTCCTTAATTCCTTTCAGAAATTGCTTAAAAAGAAGTCAAACATGAGATAGACAAATGTAACCATCCTACACCTGAGGCCTAGAATTCCTTGCAGTTCTGATGGTGGTTTCCCCTCCTTCCCAGTCCCCAGGGCCCCAAAAATCTCCAAGGAAAGCTGGTCCCGTGGAGGGCTTTTGGATGGCTCCATGGCGACGCCAATGGTATCCCTGAGAGGCACAAAATGCATCAAAATGCTGTTTTTACCACCCAGAAAACTGATGGAATGGAAAAAATATACATCCCAGCTTTTTCGTGATGACTGGGGGATGGCTAACTTATGGCATTACCCACATTTTTATGGGATTTATATACCAAGAACAAATGGTGGATTTCATTGATTTGACCAAGAAACAATGTGTTTTAGTGGGATTTTTGAAAACAACACCAGTGTGCTCAACGAAGAAACATAGTGGTTTAATAGGGAAACGATAGAGAAGACAAGGGGATATAACGGGGATGTAATGGGGACACATCAAGATATCTGATGTTCTTGTCGGGGAGACGGTGTGATATAAGTGAGATATTATATAATATAACCGACTCTCGCCAAAGCAGACGCTCGACCGATGTTCGCCCATACCCAAATCTTACACCAAAACAATGTTATGCATTTGTCATCAGAGGATGAATGAACACTGGCTATATGAAGTGTTTTCACCTCATGCTTCCAGGATTGAGGGTTCAAATTTTAGAATTTAGATGGGTTTAGGGTTTTGGTTTTTGGGGTTTTCAGTTTTTTTTTAGGGTTTGAAATTTGTTGTCTTGCAAAATACTGTCCCTACGAAGAGATGCTGGAGCATGTTGAGCAGGATGTGTGGGATCCGTCACGCGAAAACATCTACTTTGCAGCGAAGAGGTTTTCGAACGTATCAACATGGGAATAGTTTTGTGATTGTTTTGGAGATGATGTCATAAGTGGGATATGCAGGTCTCAATATGGTGCAGGTATTCCATTAACTGCAGGAATCTTTTTTTGTGACTGTGAAAGATGAAAACATGTTCCAGGACAATAATTCGCTGCGGCACAGCACGACCCCCTCAATCCTCTCAGAATCTGACGGCAGAACTTTTCTGGTTGGTGGTTTGGAACATGAATTTTATGACTTTCCATTCAGTTGGGAATATCATCCCAACTGACGAACTCATATTTTTCAGAGGGGTTCAAACCACCAACCACTTTTTCAAAGTCAGACTTTAGGTCCTCATGACATGTTTCTCTGGATCACAAGCACATATCATGAAATATCCACTTGGGTAAGCTGGAGAAAGCAGCAATTGCTGTGGGAAACTTTCCTGGTGTCTCCATCCAGGCGTTCGTCGGCGTGAAGAAGTTTGAAATATTTTGGGATTCTCAGCCCACATACCCTCCCATAATCAACCATGGCTAGCTGGAAAATCCCCAATAAATGGAGGTTAGAATTGGAACAAGATCTATACCATCGGGTATTTTCTATTGCCAGGTTTGATTACCCGGAGGGTATTAAAATTGGCCTTGCCAGCTTGGCTCTCGATAGATGGTTATGATTCGCCCTTTTGTTTTTCCGTTGCTGGTGATTCAGAAGCCCTCCAGAATCCCTGATGTTTCCAACCTTGGGACCTTAGACCCCACTGGCATTGCTGCCCTGAAACAGGCTGCTGTGTGATGAATGTCGAGCTGTTCCTGCACTTCTGCTCAATATTTGCGTATTCTGCATCACATGACTAGGCCAGCAAAGTTGTGGGTTGACTTCATGCTGACTTCATTTGCAGACTTAGACTTGGACTTTTCGGAAATTTGCTTATATAACTATTCCAAGCCATATCCAGGAAGTTTTTTGGGCTCTGAAGTTGATCATCCTCAACAGTTGTCTATTCTATTCATAAATATGGATGCATTTAGATGCCGTTTCAGTATCAGTGTTCAGCCGGGAAAGCAAGTTACCCCCAAGGTAATCCACCAAGTTTAGTGTGATGTAAGTGATATATCAATATATATATATTATATGTAATAATTATGTAATTATATATAATATACATATAATATGCATATATATATATATATCATGTACCTCTTGAAATAGTGTTTAGCCATGTTTAGCCAGCAAAAAAATCTGGATGTCACCCAAGGTTCAGGGTCTGCCTTCTTTCAGGGTACGACGAAGTTGAGCCTGAAATTTGGCGAAGACTCTAAACCTTGTTTTTTGGGTGGTTCAAGGATCTGATGGTTCTCTTTTGCCATTCTGGGAATGTTTACAAACCAAGAAAAGATGTATTTTGTTGCAAGCTATCAACAGCGATTTTATTCACCATGATTCACCAACTATTTTTTTTTTTAAATCAACATTTAACGGTACTACGGTGAATATTATTTTGTTAATTTTGTATCATAGAACTGTTCATGGTATTTTGTTAGTACATTATTGTATTGAACAACAGTTCTTTGGCTACAAGTCTTGCCATAATTCACCAATGTCTTGCCATCAGTTGAAGATTGAGCAGCAACCCAATGGCCTAAAGGGCCACTGTAAGCGTCTTGGGGCTTCCCGTTGTCCTCAGCCCCAAATGTGGAGCTTGTAATATCGCTTGGATCGCTTGGGTAAAAGTCGGAGCTCTGTGGTGATTTCAGGGCGCTTAGTCATACTACATCTGGCTTGTACTAGTTGATTCAGTTTGATTCTAGTACAATCGGGTACCTGAACATTATCTATGTACACAAAATATTATGAACATCTATGAACTATAAAAGTATACAATCATACCATATCATACCTATGTATACACATTCGTAAATCAAGCAGATCAACACATTTGCTTCGCCAATTTCTACGTTGCTCCACCCCTACCGGTGGTTTGGATTCCTGGGGTGATAGAAACCATGATAGTTCCTTTATGAGAAGTTGCTGTGATTGCCCAAATCACTACTTCATGATGAGCTGAATTGTTTCGACTGAACTGCAGATACCATCTGGTTATTTAACATAGCCATGGAAAATCCACCCGTTTTTAATAGGTAAACCATCTATTTCTATGGGCCATCTATACCATGGCTATGTTAAATAACCAGAGGGTAACTACAGGTTCTACCCAATCTTTGGCAATTGAGTTCGGATCGCGCAGCTTTCGCGAAGGGTGAAAAATCCCGCCATGTTTGCAAACGGTTTTCATCACGTTTATCCCACGGTAGTGTAACCACCTATGTTCAGGCCCTAAACCCGAGCGAAAACCATCATTGTTCCTGGTTAGATCATCATTTTCCGATGGTTTCAGCAATTGATGGGAATCACCATGTTTCAAACGGTTGGATCCTCTGCGCTTGTATGACAAGAATAGCTAAACCGTCGCAACGTGGAGAATCATCCCAATAGTTGTATATCAGAATCTGTCGCGGGAATCACTATGAACCCTTTTTTTTTGGATAACGGAGGATTTTGAACACTGCTCAATTTTGCTGAATGCAAAACAAACGGTTTTGTGATTGTTATGCGTGTTTATTGAAACTTCGGAATATAGGAACTTCTTGTGAAATGTGCGTGTTCGTTAGTATAGCAATAGCAAGCAAGTTGTTAGAGGGTGGGCGTCAATATCTTGAATAAAGTGTCTGGTATCAATTGGTGACGCTGGGTGACGCTGTGGCTCATTTCTGACGATTTTGACGAACAAAGGAGGACGTAGAAACTATCGCTATGGGCCACCGTCAAACAACGGATGTTGCGAGAAGATTGTCGGAACATGTGCAGTATATAAGTGCTACAAGACGTGCTTGTAGTACGTGTTCGTCTCTTGCCAAGATCTAAATGTAATTTGGACACGATCGGGCAATATGTTCTGAGACGTCACTATTCATCTAGTGGATATTGGACTCCCAGAAGCAATAACTGTATCACTACATCAACTGGTGACCTCTGACAGATCTGCGGGCCCATGCTTCCGCAGTTCCATGAGAGACTGAACTTATTTGGCTATGGATCAATACCTAATACCATTTTTAGGGGGATGAACATCCATTTTAACCCAGCTATTTTGATGTGAACTACAGGGGTACTATTGGTTTTGACACACTGCCATTTGGAGTGGTCACTCAAGAGATAGGTGAGAGATGGTGAGAGGATGAACCTCCAAGAAGGGTTATTACATGTTATTACCTATTTGCCTCAGCTTTAGCGGCCGAAACCCGCCATGTATGGAGCGCCTACTGGCCCCCGCTTGTGGGTCGGAGACTAACTCCAGGGGAAATGGGAGATGTGGTAGTCAACGATGGTCGGAGTATGCTATGAGCATGGTATCTGGCTGGGGGTTTCAACATTGTTCTATTTAATTATTGTTTTTCAAGCATACTTACTTGAGATGATTGGTTGAGATGACTAATTATACAATATTTTTTGGATGGGTTAAAACCTCCAAGCAGATGTGAATGACAATCCAATCATGGGTACTCTGCTGATGCTGGAACCTGTAGTCCTGGCTATTCAGAATTTTGCATATCATGTTCACCAGAATAGAATTCAATATAACTGAATAACCAGGACTGGAACATGTTGGATAGAATATAGAATTCAATTTACCAACCAGTTGTAGAATTTTGCATTCACCAGAATGTAATTCTGAATGTAATTCTATTAACTGCTTGGTGGTTTGGAACATGAGTTTTATGACTTTCCATATTGGGAATGTCATCATCCCAACTGACTTTCAGTCCATCATTTTTCAGAGGGGTTGGCGAAAAACTACCAACCAGATATATGTTTCATTAGATCAGGTATTAATCACTATTAACCACTATTCATCACTATTATAAGCACATTAATACCACCAACCAGTTCTTCAGTCGGGAACCGTCAAAGTCATCGCCCCATTTTTCGCTGTTTCAATCGAAAATGGGAATCCACAGGATGGTGATTTTCGCCAGTTGTTTGTTGCTTTATATAAATATCCCCAGCTAAATAGAATCATTAGCATTTATAAGCATTTATAAGCATTTATAATCATTTATAAGCATTTATAAGCATTTATAAGCATCATACACTATGATTTTACTAGTTATTACTATCGTTATGTTCACCAACTTAGCGTTTTCGAACTGGGGCCCCATCATGGCCCCATCCAAAACAAACAGCAGCGATTTCAGGCAGAGTGCCACCATCCCAGGAACGAGAGCTCCCTGGTTTGGGCGACTCAGGGGAACTTTTTTGGGAACCCGCTGGGTCGATACGGAACTGCCTATGGGAAGTCCTGAAGCAGAGAGTTTTGGGAAAAAGGTTAGCTAAAATAGCTAAAGTTAATGGCAGTTAATAGGAATCTAATGCATCCTTTTTTTTTGGTGATTTTTAAAACATATTTTGCCATCTTGATGGGGAGATATGAAAGGATACCCAGATAAACATCACATGTTTTTGGAAAGTATCCGTTCTGCTTAGCCATGAATCGCGGATGGCATTGCAAACATGTGGAAGTTCAACCCCCAAGAACAGACATTTGACCTTCAACAAACAGGACATGTTAGTGTCAGAAAAGTGGATGTCAGCCTGAAAATAGGGGAAGATGCAACAAAAAAACAGCCGTGGCATTTTCTGAGTCGATGATTTTGTTCAAAGATCTTCCCATTGGTTGAGGTGGTGGCGAAAAAGAAGATCGCCGAGGTGCCGCAAAGTGGGGATCGCTTTGGCCCCAGCACCCCAATAGCTGGTTAATTATAGCTGGTTGGTATGGAAAATCCATGAAAATCCTATGAACATCCTATTCAAAAATGGATGATTTTGAGGTACATGGATTGGACACCTCTATTTTTTTTGCAAAACTATGGGGTGAAAGGCCAGCAAACATAGGTTTTTTTTGAGCCGTTGAAAAAGGAACTTCAGCATGAAAGTTGCAGCAAAAACTTGTTGTGGGATGTCTGTTTCGACCATCCAAAATGTAGATCTTAAGCAGAAAACATCTTGATTTAAGCAGCACATGTTGTTGTGATTTAGGTAGCAACAACAACAAAAAAACATCAAGAACATCAACTACAAAACCACCAACACCACGACAATGGCCATGCAGTTGTGCTAGTAAGCAGTCACAAGGGCTACCAATATTTAGCGGTGGTATCTCCATTCCTGCGGCCATGCAACTTTCACCAGGTGATCTAGCCCCTCGGTTTTAACTTTGGCCCTGACAGCCTTCACTGATTTTCCATCTGTCTACCCATTTCGCCATCCATATATTGGTTGTATGTATATAATGTTTTATCTCCGTGTTTCACACATGTCCTCAAATTTGCACCATATAAAATGACGGTTCCATCTCCATTGCTGATTTTCTCATATTTTCTCCGGTTCCATTTTTTTTGCTTATATCTTCTGGTAATCTAACATAGGGATGGAAATTCCCCTATAATGTTAGCTTATATCTTCTGGCTAAATCCATTAATGGAATTTCCCCTATATGTCTATAAATTAATGAATTTAGCCAGACAGGTGCGCGAGTTTCTCTTCCAGCCCAACGGTCGAAGGCGTGGAGACACACAGGGAGGACCAGCGGGTCGTATTTGGGTACTGGAAATGGATACTGATCATAAAAAAGGCATTAAAAAACATTGTTATATAGTAAAACGCTTAGTAACTATATATAATTACATATATATAATTACAGATATATATATATATATATAATTACATATATATATAATTATTATACAATATACATGTTTTTTTTTTTTGGGGGGGAAGTTTTTTTTTTCCCCAGGATAATCGAAGGTGAATGTTACTGGTGAGTGTTTTCCTGGGGCGAGTCAGTCACATCACCAGCCTGGTGAAACCTGGGATGAACCTTGGAGGATCCAAGGGGAGTCGCCTGGTGATGGTAAGTCCCCTGAAATGCTAGTACTCCCGTATATATAATGTAATGTAATATAATATAATATATACAAATGTAATATAATATGTATATATATAAATGAATACTATAATATACTATAATATACTATAATATACTATAGTATACTATAATATACTATAATATAATATAATATAATATAATATAATATAATATAATATAATATACATACATATATATATATACACATTCCCGTAGCAATTTCTTGAAACGGGTGAAATCTATGGTGATACCAACCAGCTACTAAGGTGGGATGAATCCCCAAGCCAAAGTCAAAGTAATCACCTACCGACTGGTGATTTTTGTTCGATTATTTTGAATGATTTTGACGTATAGTAGATGGTGGTTTTCAACCCCTTACCCCATAGTGATAATCTTTGGAAATCAAATCCGCGCAATTTTTTCGGCGCTCTTTAGATCATTTTGCTCCATCCTGGGAACAAAAACATTACAGGGCGGAAGAATTGGGACATGTTGATGGACAAGTTCGTGGTTTCGGAACATGTGATGGAAAATCAAGGGACATTGAGTGCTAGATGAGTGTTGTAGATTTGTGGACAAAAAAGCATGGCCCCTCAAAATTTAAGAGTGCATCAACATACACGGAGGTTTCCTAAAATGGGGGTTACCCCTAGTCATCATCCATTTTGAATAGGATTTTCCATGAAATAAATGCCATTTTAGTAGAATGTTCCATCATAAACCTCCGTTTTCATATGATTTTTCATA